GTGGTATCAACAACCAGACTGCCAGCCAATTTGCCATCAAGCCGCATAATATCATATAGGATTTACAAGGTAACAAAATGTTAAACATTTTCTAAAGTAGCCCATTTCATTTACTCCTTACTGATTACCTACTGCCTGATGGCTAATTGGCCAGCGCTCTGGCCTTTGGTGCTTCAGGTTCGAACCTGGCAGTGGTATAGATATTTGTTAGTGCTTCGGTATCCACAATAAACAGTAGGTCCCGATCTAATTAGCCTAAAGTGTGTACAAAATGACCGTAGAGCGACAAACCAAACCTTACTGATTACCATTAATTTTGCTTTTATAAGCTAATCTTTCTGTAAATGAAACATATAATATTCGTACAATTCACAAAAAAAAAAAACAGTTTTATAAAAGCCTTTTATGAATAAAGATTTAAAAAATTTAATGTATAAAAAATAATACTATTCATTTTTTCATTATATAAAAAAAGGAAAAACATAGTTTAAAATGTTTAGAAAATAAATAAATTTCTTTTACTTTATGTATTACAGCTCAACATTTTGTCAATAATATTTTGTTGGCATTTGAAATAAATCATTTATACAAAAAAAGTGAGTATTACAAAGAAATTATAGTACCGATATAAAATATAAATAGAACTACTCAAAAGCTAGCAATAATTTTATACGCATTATAATCAAAGAATTTCATTTCAATAATCCATTTAAATAAGTTTGAGATCAATTTCATTTACTTCCGACAAACAGTTATCAAAGTTGAAGACAATATTTTGTTGGCATGTGAAAGATTTATATTATATACAATATTATAAAATAATCAATAAAAAAATGCATAAAATATAAATCACCAATTCAAAAATTAATCACAACTTAAGAAATGTAATTATGAAAAATCTAACTGTAAAAATAAAAAAAAACATTTCAAAATGAAACCACTTTCACTTATTTCACAATCAACTTCTCTTAAAATATCTTTGTTAAATTGTATCTTTTTTTTAACACTTGAAACACGCATCTTTTATACAATGTTTCAAAATCAACACCACAAAAATACAAAAACGATAATACAAAACCATTATTAAAAGCTTTTCAAAAAAACTGTCAACAACTTAGCAACACAATAATTATCAAATCCTTGCTGAATAATCCAACTTTCAGAAAAGGAGAAATAAAAATAACGATCCATTACTGAAGATTCGAACACGGACATTTCAAAATAAAATGCTTACTCATATCTCCCTCCTCTCCCCAATCACCACCCCATAGAAAACCATTCTTCAGCGAGCATTACCATATTTCATACCTGGGGCATAATTTCCAAGTTTCTTCCTTTTTCTAAAGGAGGGCTTCCAATTTAGTGGCATTTACATAAACCCTCTTTACTTTTCTATGGAAGACTCAGAAAGAAGTAACAGGCCGCAAGACCAGACCACGTACTAGAGTATCTTCCGGGGCAGGTTTTACGCCATTGTTATTATTATGGTGATTAATTGTCATGTTAATCTGCCCTCTATTGATGGATGGTAACACGGACTCCAGTTCTCCGCTCCATCGACCGACAACAAACCAGAAACGTCGATCAAAATTATTAAGAGCTAGTCTCTTCGGAACTTGCTTAAAGGTTGGATTATGCAAATCAGCTTAGAGCAAGGAGTTTCTGAAATGAGTGACGCCTTCATTCCAGACTTCGCTCCCGGAAATTTCGGGAACCAGTAAATAAATTGCGACTCCCTTTCATAATAGAGCTGTCGTCAAAAGTCTAGGATTGGATAGTGGGACACTCCTGGTTGTTGTGTTGGTAATTGACGATCAGGAGTTTGCTGGTCCGAGTTTAGGTGTGGTCGCCGTTCGATCACGGCCTCCTTTTATTGTGAAAGAAAATTAGCTTATTGCAATATTCATCATAATAGCTTGTCGCGAGAAAAAAAAAAAGCTTGTGAAAAATTAAAGGATTGTAAAGAAGCACTTGTCTTAATGAGCATCGGACAACATCTATCTTTTTGTCAGCTTATTCTTTCAAGCTCATTGAGGTACAAGAGTTTTGGAAATTAAGAGCTGGTCTCAATAAAGAGTATATTATGAATTAATTTTATAACAATATTACATTGTATGTAACTTTACAGCAATGATATACAACCTACGACCCGTTGAAGCATCTGCCTTTGTTCCCCAATCCGTTTGTGGTGAGTAATTTTCAGTAATGAAAATTAAAGATTACAAAGGTCTTTTATTGAATGTTTTTTATGTTACAGATTTATCAGATTCATTTTCAAAAATATATTAGCCTGGATACAGAATCTCTAGGAAGAGAATTTTTTTCCCTACCTTGGCCATTGCCAAAAATATATTCCATTTTAAATATTTATATTGTGTAAGAAAAACACTTTTTATCTTTAACAGGTTCTAATGCAGCTGACAATACAGAGATAGTTAATATATATGCATAAGCAAGAGCTGCACCGCTGTTACTCATTTAGCACTTCCGAGGGGGCACGTGTAGCTTGAAGATATACTACGGACGCGAGTAACGCTAACTCCGCAACGCTCTACGATCATATTATACCGGGATCTACGGTTTAAAGTGGATTCCGAACCACTAGAAACATCCATAGCACCGAACCCGAAACCTGTGGCCAGCCATTCGATCATCAAGTCCCTTTATGTAAGCATAAAAATTATAAATAAATAAATACAATTTGCTTTTGGTTACAACAAAAATAATAACATAAATGTACATCAATAGCACAATTGTTAAATTAATTACATAGTTAAAAATTTTTAAATTGTAGCTCATGGATGTAGCATACAAACATACTGATTTTTAAAATTAGTTTTCTGCCGACAGTACATATTTTAAAAAGTGTGAAGCTTTCATTTGATCTGCTCCCAGAAATTTTAAAACCTAATAGAACTGCTTTCAAAGAATTCCTGGATTGGATACTAAAAATTCACTTCTCACTACTGTTTGTTGCAATAATTATCAATCTAGGATTTGCTGTTCAAGTTTAGGTACATGGAGTTTAATCACTACTGTTTCTTTTTACTCCTTGTTTCTTTTTTTAATGGTATGAATGATTAATAACTTATTCAAATATTAGATTTAATAACGTGTCACAAATTATTAGCGGCTTATAAAAAATGCTTATCTTAATCATCGACGACGTAACATCAATTATTTTTGTCATGAGATTATTTTCTTTTTTTTCTTCAATGTATTAATTTCTAAAAAAATTAATTTGAAACATAAATAAATTGATACAACATTTACTATGTAACCAACACTGTAACTTTAATACACAAAATTTTTATATAAATAATTGTAATCCTTCAAGATTTTCTAGCTAAAAATTAGCTGAAATGTTGAAGCCTTTATCAAAGTTACAAAAAATTTAAGAAGACTGGTTTATTTACAATTTTTATAATTAGTTATAATTTAAAAGTTTATAATTTTAGTTTATAATTTAAAATATAGTTTATAATTAGAGAGTTTATAATTTAAAATATAGTTTATTACTAGAGAGTTTATAATTTAAAATACTGTCATCAATATGTCTGCTGCAAGTCAGTTTAAGCAAGATTGATGCCTTCATTTTAATTTATGATCTTGTAATTTAAAGAACATTGCAATAAATTTTGATTTCTTTTCATGATAAAACTGTCTTTAAAATTTCAGAATTAGATATTTGAGTGTCTAAACACTTTTAATTTGTTTAGCAATTGGTTATCCAGAACTTTCAATTCCCTTTAGGTGTGATGGTAATTTGGTCACTGCTTACATGTTTATCTTTTTAGAGGTGAAATTTAGTTGTAAAATTGATGTTATAAATGTCAAAATAGGCAAAATCGATAAACATAACACTCATAGATATACGTAACACTGATATGCATAACATATTGATACGCATAACTGATAGACCTAATCTCCATAATAGCCATAACTGTTAGACATAGACATAACTGACTAAAATAATCGTTATAGTAGCATAACTGATAGGCATATATATAACTGACAGAAATAATCGTTATGATAGCCATAACTGATAGACATAAACATAACTGATAAACATAATCACCACAATAACCATAACTGGTAGGCATAAACATAATACTCATCCTTTCTTATTAAAAAGTTTTTTAAAAATTAATGAAATATTTTTTTAAATAATCAATATTGTGATAATAATATTCTCTACATAGCTGTGTAATTTAACAATGCAATAAATAAGCAAATCTAATTGTAATATAATCTTTTAAAAATATAAAATGCAGGTAGCGAAATTTTCATACTAAATAATATTTAATTCTTATAAAACGAATTTTATCAAAAACGACATTAAAATGATTACAAATGTGTTCAAAAACTGTGGAATGATATCTAAGAATCATGAAAATCCATTGAATTGCAAATGCATTGTCTCTCATGCATTTAGAGGCGAAGTTTTGTTGTAAAATTGATGTTATAAATGTCAAGATAGACATAATCGATAGACATAACACTAATAGACATAACGTAATGACAGACATAACTGATAGACCTAATCGATGTGATAGCCATATCACTCATCCATATCCTCACTCATCCTTTCTTATTAAAAAATTTATTAAAAATTAATGAAATATTTATTATATGATCAATATTGTGAAAATAATATACTCTATAAAGCTAAATAATTTAACAATGTAATAAATAAATGAAATTATAATATATTCTTTTAAAATATATAAAATGCTGTTGTTGTTGCTGTTGTTTCTTATCCCACTTGGCTGGCTGCCTAAGCCCGTAATACTCAATGATTGAAGGGGAAGGAAAGCTTCTGTTATGATGGAGCACCCGTAGGTAGAAGCCTGGCTTTGGCTCCGTAATACAGTCATAGGAGACCGGGACCTACGGCTTAAAGTGGATTCCGAACCACTAAAACATCCAATGCTAACCCGAAACCTGTAATAAAGAGCGCTAGACACAAATTCAGGTCCCAAATTTGCCAACGGCACGCGGTAATCACCCACCCAAGTACTGACCGCGCCCAATGATGCTTGACTTCGGTGATCTAACGAGAACCGGTATATTCAAATTGGCTAATAAAATGCAAATAGTGAAATGTTCATACTAAATAATATTTAATTCTTATAAAATTAATTTTATCAAAAACGACATTAAAAATAATTGCAAAGATTTTCAATAGAACAATATCTGAGAATCTCATTAAAGTGCATTGAATTGCGAATGCATTGTCTCTCCGAATGCACAAAAGCACAAATATTTTTCTGATTAACTGAAAACGAAGATATTCCCACAAAATTTACACAACAATTTTAAATTCTGGAAAAATTATTCTGAATAAAATTTCAGATATCAAAACACTTTGCAAATCGTAACAAGAACTATAACACTTCACTATAATAGTTACATGAATTATTTATTGTATTATTCTTTGTGTAAAGAGTCACATATCTCGTCTCAACAACAATTGACAATCCTGAACAGTTAAATATAATAATATACTAAATAAAAGCAAGTGCAGTGAAGCTCAATGAAATAAACTTTCAAGATGGGTGGCCAGTCGTAAAATTATGGCATCTCTTTTGTAAAAATAGGATCATGTTGAAATGCTGCAATAGAATCTGATTTTAGATCTTTCTCTATTTCGCAATCTAAGATAGACACTGACCTTATATATTTTATGTAGGAAATATTTGTATTCAATTTTGAATCGCTATGTATAAGGCATGAATCTAAAACACTGTCACTGGTTTTTCACCATTTGTTTACTCCAGATGACAGAATGTAGCTGGTTTAAGATATCGCTGTAATTTTTGTTGCAGTCGAAGTAGTATAATCAGATTTTTTTTAAAAAAAAAAAAAAAAAAAAAAATTTAATGAAATTAGAATTAGAATCATTTAATGAAATAAGAGATTTTGAAACTAGAAATTTAATAAAATTAGAGATTTTGAAATGAGAAATTTTAATGAAATTACAGATTTTGTAATTAAACATAAAAAAAAAACATAACATCTAAAAGTTAATTTCAATTACATTAATACAACATATTATCTTTATCTTAGTAGTAATAGACATTATCTTTAATATTAAATTTTTTGACCATGAATTTAATCATGATAAATAATAAAAATATAAAATTGAGGAAATTAAAACTGATATAATCACAATGCCACCTTGACTTAGTTTGACTTGACTTGGAACTTTGAGATGTATGCTAACTGATGCTGCTTTATCTCAATTTATACAAATGTTGTTTAAAATACTACAAGTAACAGAATTTGAACCATCTTGGAACTTTATCACCTACTTACTCCACTATATTTCGTAAAAATTTAAAAAAACTACTTCAAAAGCACACCAGCACTGTTATAGTAGAAGGCTTTACAATTGTGATTCATCATTTTATAAGTATGCATTTATTCCGTGAGTAGTAATCCCATTAATATTTATAACACTATATAGTGGTGTAAATATGGTGTTTTAGTCTTGGTTTGTTTTGTTTCTTAGATGGAAACTCCTTTGCAAATACAAGATTGCAAAACTGTCTTCTTCATTAGTCCGAAGATCATATTTATGACTTCTGTAGGAATGTATTCACATTGTGACTTTATTATTTTGGTTTGTCCTTCTCATTATTTTCACAAAAGTTATGATTATCAGTGTGATACAAAAATCGTAGGACATCCCATCTGTACTTTACTTCAATTACCTTTCTTATTGTTGTAAAGTGAATAGCGGAATCAATCTATTTATTTTTAAGGCGATTATTATTTGATAAATGAATCATTTGCTGATTACAATTCAAAATATTATCTTTTCATTCGTTGTTGAGTTGCTTGCATTTTTATCTGTTTGAATATTTACCACTTTATCGGTAAATATTTTAATTATCTCAAGAGTGATCAATAGGGCCGTCGCTAAACGATATTTGATACATTTTGGCACTTAATTTGTATAAAATGGGAAAATAATCCTTTGCATTTGATTTTAAATACTCATATTTGTTCAAATTAGAGTTCTTTAAAAACTGTAGATATTGCAAAAGTACCTATCTTTCAGTTTATAGAAATTTATATGAAAAATAATATAATTAATTTTTTTTTATATTTCTAATAAAAAAAAAGTATTTGGAAAATAAAAATTTTAATCTACAAAATATCTACTTATAGATGCTTTACCTTAAATTCTTTATTATACACTTGATTTTTTCAAATCCTTCTATTAACTCACACTCTCCCTATATATATCTTATTCAAATTTTCAATCGTTTCAAGTTCAAATACATTTTTTTAACTTGTAGTGGATGACACTTGAAGTTAATACAGTTTTTACAAATATTAATTCAATCATTAAATTAAATTAATTAATTTTAGTTTTTTTAGATTTAAGTTGCATATATCTACCAATAGATGGCGCCAGATAAACTTAAAGAAATGAATGAAAATTATTTATAAAGAACTTTCTGCAATGTGAAAAAAAGTAGGAATTGACTTAAATTTTTTTTTTATATATTACTTGTTTTAGGGTACAATAAATAATTTAAGGTAAAGCATTACGAAAAGTATTCAAGGGAAAACGAAATTATTAAACTATTAAAAGGTATTACGAAAAGTTTTAAAGTATTTCTGGGTTTCCTTCGTGGAATAACTTTATCTGTTCGTGGGCTATTCTCTCCTAATAACTCGTCTGTGGGCTGTTCGTGGAACATGAGATCGACCGTTCAACAAAAATTTACAGACAGAATTTCAACAAAACAACGATTTCAACAAAAAAAACAATTTCAAAAACGATGTTCAACAAAAATTTAAAGACAGAATTTGCAGAAAGTTTACTGTGTTTTCTTTTAGGTACAAATTCGCATGCGAATTTATAGAAAATATTTATAAAAATAAACCTCCTTAAAGTAAAGTTTATTTTATTATCGAGCCTTTATTGTTACTGATGTTGAATTAATCTTATTTGACAAGTGCTCCTTTAATCTTTATTTAAAATATTGAATTTGTAAATTTACACATATCTGGTATTACAATTTGGGGCCTGATGGCCAATTGATTGGCGCTCGGTGTCCCCGGTTTCGGATTCGATTCACGGCGGTGCCATGAATGTTTGTAGTGATTCGGAATCCACTTCAAGATATAAATCTCTGTCCAATATGACTCTTAGGCGTAGAGGCTGACAATCTTACCCCGTAAAAAAAAAAGATCTCCTGTTTTGAATCTACCAGTAGACAGACGGCCATAGTCCAACATGTGCCAGGGAGTTAGTTAGATATTGCGATTTTGATTAATTTTTCCAAGTTGAATTTATTTCGTGGCCTGATGGTCGGGTGACTAGCTCTCTGGCACTCTGTCCACAGATTTTTTGTTCGAATCCCGGTGGTGCCCTGGATGTTTATAGTGGTAGACAATCTACTTTAAAAAGTAGCTTCCGGTCTAATATGACTGTTGAGCTCTTGGCGTAGGACTAACAGCCCTATCTTGTAAAACGAAATCATCTCCTAACTCGAAATCTGGCAATAAACACACGATCTTGGGACACCATGGAGCTATTGCTCTAATGAAGAAGATGAAAGCATTTCAAATTTATTTGATCATTAATTATCTTTGATTCGAACTCATTTTCTTGTAACAAATCAGTTCCTCATTTTTTTCATTAAGGAAGTTAAACGAAAATTATTGAGCTTTTATTAATAAAATTAATTTAAGATTTATAATTCTATTAAGCACGTCCCTAAACTTTATCATTTTAACGATATTTTCAACAGCAGTTTCGTTCAGCTCATAATCATTTTGAATATTCTTTAAAAATCCATATAAATAAGAATTTTTAAATAAGTATTTTTAAAAAATAAGCATTGTCTTTTTGAAAAATACACGCAGACTCTCCACAAAAACATGCATTGTTTAAATTATTTATTAAAAAAAAGTTTCTTAAAACTGTAATTATTCAACTGACTTTTACTAACTCTTTTGAGGAAAAAAACTGCTAATTTTCGTGGCAGTCATCATTAAAATTCTAAGCAAATCCTTCAAGAAAAATTAACCACTTTCGTAAAATTCTTATCCATCCCCGAACGTTTTCAAAAACCACTGAACAACAACAGCAGCGAACCTTTTCCGCTACACTAGCTCAGCAAAACAATTTATAGCGAAAAACGTCTTTAAAAACATTTTAATTGCTTAAAAGACAAGTTCATTACAAGAATATTTCTGCTTCAACGAAAACTCACGTATTTGATTTCTAAGAAATGATGAATGCACGCACATTAACAATGCCCTTTTCTTTTCTCTGCCTAGAAAAAAAACTTGAATATTGTTTCAATTTTAAAATGAGTTTCTCTGCCATCACTAAAACGAGCTGAATTATTATAGTCAGTCAGTATGCATGACCGAAGGCGAATAGAAGCAGCATTTTTGCAGTATTCAGCTTCAGTTTTTTTTTTATCATTATTATTATTAATTGCATCGTTTAATTTTTGTTGTCTTTATTAATATTTTTACGATTTATTCTTAAATAATGAAGAAATAATGATCAAGAGAATGCACGATTTATGAAGACAAATGTGGATAACTCCTTTTAATATTTAAAAGTAATAATTAAAATAGATTGTACTGTTGTTAAAAAAAATAAGACGAGTTTTAAAAACTGGAAAATTTTGATTCATAATTGGAAATCGTGTTTAAAAATAGTTCTTACTTTATTGAAACTTTTTCTTCTTGTAATTAATGAATGGATTTTATGAAATGATATCAAACAATTTTAAAAATTCCTTCTACAGATTGCAATTATTGATTCGTAATTAAATGGATTATGTTTTTTTTTTAAATTTATTATAGCCTCTTCCAGATTTAATTACATTTTTTTATATGAATATTTTATTTCAAATGTATCATATTATACATGTATCATTTTAAAATAAGTTTAAACAATTAAAGATAGTTATTGAACCTCAAATTTTTATACGAGATAAAACATAATAAAAATTCATTATTTATTGAAGATTTGAATAAAGAGTTTTTATTAGCTTAAATTTACAAGAAAAATAGTTACTATTACTATTGATTGAGAATAAA